CTGCGGCTCACATGCCTCCTAACACCAGCCAGGATGCTGTTGGCCTTCTTGGGCACACTGCTGGCTCAGCTGCTCGTTGATGAGAACACCCCAGTCCCTTTGTGCCCGACAGCTCGCCAGGCCAGCAGGTACAGGTGTGCCAGCCGCGGCTCCCAACAACTGCAGCAAAACGCCGTTGAGCCAAAAAACACAAACCCCTGCTGGAAAATATAGAAAAAGCAACCTTTACCGCCAGCTTGTTGTTGAGCAGCAGCTGGAAGCCCTCTCTCTTCTCCTGCTCGTCCCCGGCGTGCAGGCGGTCAGCCTGCTGCAGGAGCTGCCCCAGCCCTTCCTCCAGCGAGGAATCCAAGAGTAAAGGCGCTTCCTCCTCGGTGACGAGATCCAGGGAATCCCGGCGCGCAGTTCTCACTGTTTCACAGCTCACCTCATCTTCCCCTTCTTCGCTCTCCTTCTCAGACTCCCGGTCGTAATCAGACTCAGCGTTGGCTGTGCTGTACCTTCAAGAAAAATAAAATACAAAAACCAAACACAGAAACACAACACGAAATTAGTCTGAGGTGATGCTCTGCAGCCTGTGACAGCTTTACACACACGGTGCAGCAAACCCAGCTCTTCCTAGTAGAGGAAGAAGAGTATCTTAGTTTATCCTGGAGAACATCACACAATCCAAGTGCCTCAAATAACACACGGGTCATGATTTCTCATGTAACACACTCGACCTCAAAAAGCTGAAGAAAGAAGGCCTCCTCCCCCAAAGTGCAGCAGAATCCAGTCACAAGTGTCCATGTTTCCCTGCACGCTTCAAACTTCAACATAAGAAAATGAATTAAACTACTAAGAACAGAGCCAGGGCAATTCAGTTAAATGTACAGATTATAAAAGACAATTTCAAGAAAGAGAATCCACCACACTCATCCACGTGGAAAATAGCCCGAGGGTTTTAGCCTGTTGCAGGAAATTTCAGACCCAAGAGCTGTTTTGTCAATTCCCACGTCGCCCTGTCAGCACTAAATACGAACCAGCTTGTTCACGCTGACACATGAAAAGGCGCAAAACGGCAGGAGAGCCACCAAAACTATTTTGCACGGGCAGGAGGTCCAGAAAGAGACAGCAGACGAGCCACAGCCAGACACCACACGGACAAACACCCAGGCAACGATTAGCTGCTGGGTGAGCCAAACCAACCAGGGTACAGCTCAGATCAAAGGTTCGGGAAGTGGCTAAAACTAAGCTCCCCCAGCTCACACACAGGTGCCTGAGCTGGGAATTGAAAACAGTGTTTATGTTGACCGATATCACTGCGGTGGGCTGCCTTCTTACAGAACGAATCGCTTCTGAACGCAGACTGTTTGTCCCCCTCGCATGTGTCTGTGAGCGCCGAACCGAAGAACAAGCACGGGTCAGCCAGGTGTTCAGGAACAGGCACTCTTCCCTTCAAATTCTGTCGGTTTATCTGAAGAAAAAGCTCTCTTCCTGGAGCGAGCTACTTCAAACCTCACAAACACTTAGTTCTGGGGGATATCTGTAATTGTGACCCAACTGAACTGTGCCCAAGCCAACTCTACAAGTTCTGCCAGAATTAAAAGCCCCCGGGGCAGTCAGTAACCGGAGTGGTGTTTCCTTTTGCCCTGGCTGTCCCTCTCGCCAAGGGACGCTGCCTCTCTCTGGGGACAAAGATAGGTGACCCAAGCCCGTATCGGAAGGAGGCAGTTGCGGTAATTTGGCCACACACAGATAACCAGACACACTCAGCTGTCAAAGCTTCCATCTTCCAAGAATGATCAGCAATGCTCAAGCCTTCCCCTCTCCGGTAGAGAGTTAAACAAATTCCCCCGCTTGCCACAGCCTCCAGCCCTCGCCCATGAAGTTGAAAGACGCACGACTTTGTGCTGAATCATTTTAAGACAAGAGAGAAAGAGTCAGTCTCATCACTGCAAAGCCAGCAAAGTGAGGGCTGCAAGAACACGTGCCAGAGACCACGCAGGCAGCGCTAAGTTAACGGATAATGGAGCAGCACGGCGGGAGGCGACACTGGTACAGCTCTGTTTCAGATTAAAAACTTCATTTCTTGGTATTTTCTTAAGATTAATGATACTATTAGTTCCTTAGACTACCTCACTTTGGGTACTTGCACACAAGCTCCTCAAGTTCTCTTCTTTCCCATCCCAACGCACTGCACAGCCCCGCAGCTGCGACACCGTCCCACCACAGTGTTACCGGCGGCTGCAAAGATCTGAGGCTGAAAACCACTTTCCACGTGGAAAGCTCCTGAAACACAACTCGGTCTTTAAAAACAGGCAGCGAGGGATGGCTCCGAGACACGTTCTTTCCTCCACCGCAACAACGTGTTTTCTCCAAGACAGCTCATACGAGATGCTGCCAATTTACAAAAACAAGTAATACCCTATGTGGCTTCATAAACTCTGTTTTCAGAAAGATGAAGGGATTTAGAAGTTATCAGCCTGTTTTCTTGAGTTTACAACGATGGAAAATTCTCAGATGCTTTAGTACGTTGAGGCCTCTGGCTCACGCAACGTCCTGAAGGAAAATTAAAACATGCCATCGGAACAAAAAGGCACCTGGGGAGAGGAGGCAAAGGAGCCCAAAGGTCCAGAGCAACACAGAGAAATGCAGTGGCCTGAGAGCTCCAGGCTCCCGAGAGCTCAGGACGATTTTTGTGAATCGCACATGAAATTGGAGAAGATGCTTACGCCCATGGGGTTGACAAAATAAAGCTGAAATATGAGCTCTTCTTTCTGAGTTTCATTAACGGAGGGCAGCTGCCAGAAATGAATGCACGGCTGAAATGTATCTGTTGAGAATAGTCTCGTTTTTCCTCCCAGTGGCCCAAACATTTTTTTCCAAAATTTACGTTTCCCACCCAGATTTTCTGCTAGCAAATTTTAGCACTCGCATCTCTAAAAACAACGTTGCATACGAAAGGCAGCTGGTCCTGAACAGACTGATGTTATACCTACTCATATAGGACAAGAATGTGAAATTATATATATACTCAACATATTTTTTCAAAATCAGATGAGAGCTGCTTACCCACTAACTCTCCATACTGGTCCTTACTTCAGCCTCATCACAGATTTTAAAAAAAACGTCAGAACTCCTCCCACCATCACTAGGTTCCAAATAAAGCACCAAGGTTTTGCTGTCGAATACATCCCTGCTCCACAGCTCCCCTGAGGTGCTCCCCAAGGCAGATGCCTTCTCTGAACTGTTGTGGGCTTCCATCACGGCTTAAAATTTCCAACACGGTGCCCAGGGCTGGTTTCTGTAGAAAAAGACCACCCTGCTCAGCAAGACACGGGCACCCTGCGGACTCCGTGCTTGTTATTAGCTGGGTAGAAAGGTTTTGGCTTCAGAACCAACTACACGGTTTTAAGATCGGTTACGCAGCCTCATCACCTTTTACAGCCCTGTGAATCCCTCCCTAATCTTGCCTGTATATGAAAACCCGCACGAACGAGGCGGTTTGATAACTCCAGCTCTTTCCTGCTTCACCAGCCCCAGCTGCTGCTGAAGTGCCCTGGTTTTAGGGCTTTTTTTAGATCCGCCTTCTCGGAGGATCTTTGTTCCAGGCGCCGCTGCAGCAATGGCTGCTTTGTCCCCTGTGCTGCTACCACGTGTCAGCGGGCGCCAGCTGAGCGGTCACAACGCTGCTCCCAACAGCACATCGTGCCCAAACCCTGCCCGCCCCGCTCTCGGCACTACAGCTCACCTCCCTCTTCTTCCTCCTGCAGTTGTGGATGCAGGAGAGCTCGTTACCTACCTAATCTGACAACACTTGCATCCATACCGTAGCTGATGTTCTTAAACCGCACTGTCAACCCCTTTTCACCTGTTTTCAAACTAGAAGAACTTAAGCAGCACAACTGAGCAGTATGGCACACCGAGAAAAATCCGTAAGAAATACCCTGGCTGAAGGCGTTTCAGTTAACTGGAATATATTTTTAAACTTTCCAGACATTCTAAAATATATTATTGTACGAAAAAATTATGTATAAACTCTCTCGCTCAAGTCCCAAGGTGGACTTCTAGTTCCCCTCTTCCCATAAGGTTCCCTAATTATTGCTTAAAAAAAAAAAACCCACAACCTCAAAACCTGTGTATTTTATCTTTCCTTCCCAGTCAGAACTGTTGCACTTCTCTCAATCTGGTCCTGGCAGTAGCAGGCTTCCTGGAATTAAAGCAAATAAATCCAAGAAAGATGATAACCTAATGGGGAAAAAAAAATCCCTTCCTTCGTAATAAACTGTAATTACGTAATTACGTAAGTAATTGGGCATCGAAGCCCATGATCGCAGCTCCTGGTGCTCTGCTTACCCTCCTTCACTCTCCCCATCGTCCGTGTTGGCTGCCCCCGAGCTGGCCGTGAAATAAATCGAGCTGGAGCCTGTGGAATCGCTCCTTTCTCTGGCAAATGGGAACCGCCTCCGGCGAGTCGCTTTCTGGGTTTCTTCCAGATGGGACCTTCGGGGAAGGCAAAGAGAGAAAATAAACAGCTGGCAGCAAAACACCCACTGTTGCACCTCCAGATTCTATCCAATTTGCTTTATCTCCAGAGAATTCGCAAGGTGACCTGCTCTCCCTTACACAACCCCCTTCCCCAGCACACACTAGACACCCCAACTCCCCCAGTAAAGCCAGTCTGACCCCAGACCTGCTCCCTGCTCAATCCACACACCCTGGTAATCCTGTTGCACACCTTCCTCTGGCTTCCCCAGCGAACAAAGACAAAGGAATCCTGAAACACGTCGCGGAGCAGAGAACCTTTTACTCTGTGTCAGGAGCTACCTACAGCTGGCAGCAACCAGCGAGAAAACAGCAGCAGCCAGAGAAAAACAGCGACCGAACAAATCATCTTCCAAGTCTAGAACGCGAAGCAAGTGTCACCACTTGATATTCCACAAGAAAAAAAACCTTGGCAAAACACTCTATTTTTTTTTTTTTTTACTTTAATCGCGCTGGAGGTCTAGATGTGGGAACTAGAGACACTTCTCCCACTTCTGGATTTTAGATTTACCATGTGGTTTGCCATGCCAGGGGGTAAATACGTGCAACAGGAGAGAAAAAGCAGGATGGGGCAGTGTCAATACCTGACTTCACCGACGATCTCGGCGGCCAGGTGCTGCAGGCTGCTCCGCAGCTCCTCCACCTCTTTTCTGAGCTCCGAAATGTTCTTCAGGACGAAGTCGAGGCGCTCCAGCACATCCACCGGCCCGTCGGGCAGCAGGAGAGGCGTGTACACCGCGGCAGCCCCCGCCTCAACAGCAATCGGCACTCGGGGCGGCCCTGGGAGAAAACGAGAGGAGGAGAACTTCCCTGAGAGGCAAACGGGAAAAGGATTTCAGGTGGGTTTTGCTTTCAGGTATTGCTGCCTGCCCTGCCCAGAGCTCTGGGGGTTTTCAGCTGGTTTACTGCTCCCTTCTCCGACACGAGCACACGCTCAACACATCTGCGCTAGCAAAGAGGGGTAAATGCAGCTCTTAACTACTCTTCTGTAAAAATCCTCTTTTATGTTTAGGGTTTTTTTTAAAAAGAGACAAATCCACACAGACTATCACAGACAGCTGTAGATGCGGAACCTGTTTGTATGGTTTGTTTTTTTTTTTCTTAAAGTCCTTACTGCAAAATTAATTTCATTCCTATTCTCTGCACTTGTGTACTAACACCCCACTGAAAAAACACCCTCTGCTTTTCAGCTGAGGAGGCCACTGGGCATGAAAGCCACCAGCTTACAAGAGAACATGTCACAAGGGAAGCCAACTTTGGCCAAGAGAGACCCATTCTTCTATCCTTATCCAAGCGAAAAAAACTCCACAGAAACCCAAAGAGGAGATATCAGACTTGAAATAGCACTTTACTCATTAAAACGTGCCTTCTACTGAGTATCTGGAATATTTACTGAGCTAACCCTTTGCTCTGTGACTCTGTGATTCTTCTTGCAAATATGGCACCACCAACCAGCGTGGAAGAACAGACTCACCTCTGTGGGGTTTAAATATGTTTTCTCAGAAGCTAACAAATATTATAAATTAATATACTACTGGTCGGAAACCAGGGGCAGATGTTCATCGCAGCAATAGCTACCGGCCCATCAAAGCCACCTCTCCCCTCTGCTCTCCTCTCGGCACTTGCAAGGAGGAAATATTCAAATACAGGTATCCAAAACGTGGCTGTGCAGCAGCAGAGGTGAAAGCACTGCTCACAGGGCACCCCCGGGCCAGCAGGGCAGCAAAGCCCGGCCTTCGGAGAGCCCACAGAGAGCAAAAGCTTTTCCCCGTAACTAATCTTATGTGTAAGGCTGGTCTGGCTTAAACACACGCTCAAACCCTTCCAGGGCTGAAGGGAAGCCC